AAAAAAAAAAAAAAAAAGGAGAGTACCTCCCTTTCCCAACAGGAATTAAAACCTTTTCCACATTACTTGATATTGTGGTTCCTCGTAGAAAATGAGCTGGTACCACTAAACCAAAACCTTATCACCTGTTTTCGAACACAGGCTGTTTCTTTTAAAGAGTTTCCCAAAATGCATAAGCCTATAGCAGAAAGCAACTTTTAATAATGACAATAGGCCTTTAAAATATTAATTCAAAATGAGTAAGGTAAAATTTATTCTCATTCACTTTTTCCTTCTGTGTGAATGAAAGACCAATTTTTAAAAATTTCTAACTCACTGTGGACTTATATTGTTATAAAATATAATAAAAATTTATAAAAAGTGAAGTAAAAACACAAAATAGAAGCCTCAATATTTTGTTACATATTCAGTAGAGATTATTCAGTTATTATAAAAGTTTCTAAACTTTTACTCTCAAATTCTTATCTGTTGTGAATCAGTAAAAAACAGCCATGGACAGGACAGGTCCTCAGATAACTCTTTGGTTGTCAGTGCTTTTCTCACCTTCATGTCAAGAAGGGAGAGACATAAATTACTGGAGTAATTGAACTCAACTTTGAGTTAAAAATGATAGAATGAGAATAACCTATCTACTCTGTGCAAAAACATACTCATTCTGACTCTTAAATTATTTTTAAGCCTTTCATTTTTCTATAGTATTTGGTCTTTCTGGAACACATATATCCTTAGCAGCAGATGAGGGGGTCTTAAAGTCATTTCTAAGCCTGTGCATTATTCACTTCTTAGACTATTATTTTAAAAGATGGCTCTGTTTTGTAGCATATTTTGCCCTTGATTGAATTTCCTAAAATTAGTGAAGCAACTGAATGGATTTCTTTAATTTTTTCATCTTTGCCAAGATGTTGGAATTAATTTTGAAGAACTGGTCATGAGGTAAAAAGATCTCAGAAAAAAATGGATGATTCATTGTGCCAAGATGGTCAAATGTGTTAAACTATTCTGCCCTGTCTCACCCTGTTCTTGTCTATACATTAATGACCACATCTAGTAATCTAGAACAGGGGTTGCAAAGTTTTATGGGAGATATTGACTATATATTGAAATCACCTCAGGGAGCTTTAAAAAATATTAATGCCTGGTGCCTGTCCAGGAGTGGCTCAGCAGTTGAGCATTCACCTAGGATCCAGGAGATAGCCATTCAATTCCCAGTCAGGGCACATGCCCGGGCTGTAGGCTCCATCCCCAGTCTGGGGCTTGCAGGAGGCAGCCGATCAATGACGACTCTCTCATCATTGATATTTCTATCTCTCTCTCTCCTTCTCCCTTTCTCTCTCTGAAATCAATAAAAATATATTAAAATATATACATATATTAATACCCCTCCCCCCAGAGTTTCTGAGTTAATTTGTCCAGTACGGGCCATGGGATTTTTATTTTTAAAATTTTTATTTCTTTTAAATTGAATTTATTGGGGTGACATTGGTTAATAAAATTATATAGGTTTTAGGTGTACAATTCTATAATACATCATCTGTATATTGCATTGTGTGTTTACTACCCCAAGTCAAGTTTTCTTCCATCACCATTTATTTCCCCTTTACTCTCTTCTACCCCCTCCATCCCCCTTTCCTTCTAGTAATCACCATACTGTTGTTTGGCTATGGGCTGTGGGATTTTCAAAAGCTTCTCAGGTAATTTGAACGTTCAGCCAAGGCTGAGAACCACTGCACAGGAGCAACTGTAAGTTTCTAGATGAGTGCCCTGAGCTCTGTAAGTCACTCAAAATTTAGGAGACTTAAGATGATTGAAGATACTGTTTCCTATGACTAGAGGGCGCCATCCAAGCAGATAGTAGCTCTCTCTTGAAAATGTTTTTGTTGCTTGCAGCTCCATTATTTTTTCTTCATTTGATTAATATTAATTGAGCATTAATTGTGTGCAGGTCTAAAAACACAATGGAGAATGAATCCAAGTCATCTACAACTTTTCCCATTCCCACCTCCATAAGACCCTCAGTGTTAATTCTACCACAGAGCTTGCTTTTGGATCTGGCCTCTCTTCTTTCTTCTTGGCTGCTACCTTTGGTCAGGTCCTTGTTATACTGATAACTGCTTACCATGTCTCTTGATTCTAGGCCATCTTATAACCATGGCCAAGAGGTTGCCCTGAAAAGTCCATCAGCTCGTCATTCCACTCAAACCCACTGTTAGCCAATAGGAAAGACATGCCCTCAGGTGGATGATTTGGAAA